ATCCCCAATTTTTAATGCCTACATAATGTCTATCATTGCAAAAAAAGCTAAGCCCCCCACTAGCCCCCCCCTTCCCGGTTCCTACGCCTATTAAAAATTATATGGCTTTTAATGCTTAATTGTTAACTCCCATCACCACCCGAATACTTTTTTGAAAACGAGGTCATTCCAAATAATTTTTAAGGCTAAAGCTGTTCCAGTTTCTATGACAAAGAGAGATCCCTATTTTCTAGTATAGATGTTTTATGATATCATTGCTGATCCCTATTTTCAAGTTTGCTTATCCCTATTTTCTAGTATAGACGTTTTATGATACCATTACTGATCCTTATTTCCCAGTATAGACGTTTTATAATACCGTTGATAAGTTTATCTCCCAGTTGAGTATCCTTTGTGTTTTATATAAACTGTAAAGATTGTGAAATCCTTCATGCGCGCACCTGTTTACATTTATCTCATAAATAGTCATCCGTATGTACCCAAAAGAAATATCTGCATATTCTTAACCAGATCAAAATATCTGTGATTACTTACCAATTAAAGGATAGATATATGGATTCATAAAGGAATATCCATACTTAACAATGAAGGGATGTCTCTATTAACTTACCAGTGAAGTGAGATTTGTGGGTGGTTGTTGTAGCTCGATATCTGTACTCATTGAGGGATATATATATATACTTAATAATGAGGGGATATCTATATTTACTTACCAGTAAAGTAAGATTTGTGGGTGGTTTTTGTAGCTCGATATCTGTGCTCATTAAGGGATATATATGCCTAATAATGAGGGGATATCTCTATTCACTTACCAGTAAAGTAAGATTTGTGGGTGATTGTTGTAGCTAGATATCTGTACTTATTAAGGGATATCTATACATACCCATGAAGAGATATCTCTATTCACTTACCAAAGAAGTAAAATACTTGGGTGGTTGTTGTTGGTTGGGTAGTGGTCGTAGTCGTAGTAGGAATCAAACCTTAAATAATGCAAAATATATAGTGTGATCACTTATTACAACCAATTAAAAAGAACAAAATATTGAGAAATAGAAAAATATTGAGATATAAACAAATATTGAGTATATATAAACAAATATTCTAGAAATAAAGAAGATTTGTGTGATCAATTATTAATTACAACCCTTTAAAAAAGAACAAATTATTGCGAAATAAACAAATATTGAGAAATAAACAAATATTGAGAAATAAACAAATATTGAGTAATAAACAAATATTGAGAAATAAACAAATATTGAGTAATAAACAAATATTGAGTAATAAACAAATACTGAGCTATAAACAAATATTGAGAAATAAACAAATATGGAGTAATAAACAAATATTGAGAAATAAACAAATATTGAGTAATAAACAAATATTGAGTAATAAACAAATATTGAGAAATAAACAAATATTGAGCTATAAACAAATTTTGAGAAATAAACAAATATGGAGTAATAAACAAATAGTGAGTAATAAACAAATATTCAGAAATAAACAAATATTTAGAAATAAACAAATATTCAAACACGCACCACAACACTCTCCACAGGAATGATGCCATGACTGCCAAATAGCAGACAGATCATAATCTAAAAAGATATCAAATACTGATTTAACAGCAAAATGATAAAAAAACATAAATGAGTTCTTCCTTTTACTTTCGCATAAATTAATTTGAAAATAAAATTCTCAAGACAATGAAATTTATACACTTGGCTACATTGATATTTATTGCAAGTCAAAGTCACTGTAGACCACTGATGTTTTAACAAAAACTCACAAGGGTGAAATCTGTAAGATGCTGGAACATAGTTCTGGGCATCTGTCACTATCATAGTTCCAGCTTCCTGTTAAAGGTAATTTCTGTGAGGCTTGATAAGTTATTTCTTTAATTTACATTATATTAAGATTTTATAATACAAAGATGAAAAATAATTAATGGAACTTCGTTTGGTTTGTGAAAAGGAATATGATATATTCATATTGTAATTTGCTATACAGTTATATTTCTATGTATCATAATTTGTAGTGTTTAAATGTCCTTAAGGGATGAAATGTTGAATATTTTTGACAATTTGATTTAGATAGAAAATATCGCAAGTTTTTCTTCTGCAGCTAACCTCTCCTAAAAAGTATAAATAATTTTGAACGTTCTCTCGAGATTCATGTAATAATCTTGGTAGTCAAAGATATGAGGAATATTTGTTATCGAAAGACCTTGAACATACGCATATTTGTAGGATCGTTTTCTGTTTCAGAATTTACGAAAGCTATAGACCATAACACTGATTCCGTCTGGAATTGCCAAGGGTTTCTATTTTGATACTCTCCTCACATAGTTTGTATTGTTTATGAATTTATTTAGATCAATCACTGTTTTGTTATCACTGATTACAATATTTTATCAAAATAACTTCTAGAATGTAAAGTGTTCAGATTGCAATTCCTCTTTTATGGCACTTAGAAAAGACTTATGGTAAAACTTGAACTCAGACACTTTAAGAATAAGAAAGGCTTTCGGGTTTCTGGCTGCTAAAGTGAACTTCAAAGCACAAAATTAACCTCAAATCTGTATGCTGAATAAGTATTATCATGGTTGACTTGAATGGCAGAGTAGGAACCACAATTCATCTTGTAGAAGTAAAGATTTTCTTGAACACTTGGTTTGTACAGTCCAATTCCATCAATTAACTAAAATAAAATGTTAAAAATATATTGATGTAATATTGTTGAATATTTTCTATCAATAATCACAACTAAAAAACTTATCCGCTTCCTTGTTGTTGCAATAAGGTAATTTTACAAACAAGTTCTTCTCAATTTTGAAGCTATCATTCAATACAAGAAAAACATTACTTAAGTACTAGGGCAACCTTTGATAAAGTTATAAAGTCTTTCTTGTCTGAAATAAGTAACAACAACCTTGGCTTTTGTCAGTGTTTCATAAGGAACAGTTAAAGAAAACTCCAGGATTTTCTTACTTCATCATCTCTGAACGCATGCGCGTCTTTCTTTCTTACCGATTGTTCATTTATTACGTTATCATTTCCCATCAATATCGAGGACGTATCAACAGCTGAAAGGTAAACCATTGAATGAGGGGCCGTCTGAAGATTAATATTCACTTTGTCTCCAGGTTCTACCTGGGTTTGTCCAAATTTAACAGACACCTACAAACAAAATAGTAAACAACTTAACATCTACATTCTCAGGACCTACAATAAAAATACTAAATATTCTACAGCAAACTACATCTTATCGCCTACAAGAACAGTGTTTTAAATTCTCATAGCTAAAATTAACCGTCGTGCATGGATTTCATACTAACAAATCGCAAAGTAATGATAACGCGAATAATAGTTGGCTGACAGTACTACAACAAAAAATGTAACAATGCCAACAACATGTCTAAAACAGGATTTTCTGCCATTGCAAGGCCTTACTGACCGAATTTCTTAACATTCCGTTTACAGAAATGGAAGTCTGATCTGCATAAATATTTCCAGTGTCGGGGTCGACATTGTACACAAGGATGGAGGTTTCAGGAGTCATTTCTTCGGTCAGGTGGACGTTGAATGTTGAATTGATCTTTCCTTTAACATCATGCTTTCCCGATAAAACTTGAAGTCCGCGTGAAACAAACTAAAACATAATTGAAATTCGGATGATATCAAACATCACAGGACCAAAAACAAGAAAATCGAGTGAATAGAGTAAGTATCAGTATTATGAATTTATTGATTATTACCTGATAATAAACTTCAGCAATTGGTTTGTTTGTCAGGATCTCCAGCTTCACGGGGTTTCCAACCTATATGTATTAATTATAATGGTTATAATTAACCAACAAAAAATAAATCGATTATATATATTTGAAATTTTTCTCAACTATAAGTATATTGCATGAAGCTAGGGAATGCTTGGAAAGAATAATATTCGGTCTATTTTTTTTTCTAAATACAACATTTAGTCACCATCTTAGATATAAACATGTACATTATTTGGAAAAATGAGTTAATGTCATAATAGTGCTATACTCGTAAAATACTTCAACATTTTAAACTGCTTTTGATATTTATTACTTATAAAGCCTTTCAACTCTTAAAAGTTTGAGACAAAAAAATTACCCTATGGTCGGCGGACAAAACATTGATCTTTATATGAGTTTGATTGTGGTCATACGCATTGAGAGTGAGTGTTTTTACAACTCTGTCATGTGTAACCTGAAAGTAATATATATTTTAAAAATGATGAAATTAATGCTTTTTCAATTATAGTTACTGTTCTTGACTATCAATGATCACAATAATATGTATGAAATTTATTTTTAGTAATCTTATTTTCATGCTAAATATTCTCGCTGCGCAGACTTTGAGTATCCAGAAAATATTGTGTAATATAAGCATTCAATTGATTTGAATGATAACACTGTTTTAAGATTGCACACCTTTATCTCCAAAGTATGGACATCTGTCTTATTAGGAGTGGGAATATCAATGTCTATAAGCCCACTTGATGGAATAGGAATATGTTTGTCCTGTTCCTTATTTGTGCCTGACAATTTGTGTGAAGTAACGACAAGGTGCGCTGAAGGTAGGTGTTTGTTTGGTGCCCTGCCCTCGTTGTCCGTAAAAATAATCTAGATTAATAGAAAATTGCTGTTTCAATAAAGATTATGTATTGATATGTAAAATTATTAATATATCCTTTTCATGAAAAGGTTCCTAAAGAGGCAACAGTACTTTTATGATTGTTAAGTCAACTTTTCATCATTAATAAAATAAATTCTCCTTGTGTTATTGAACTGAATAGCTGAAAAAGTTTACATTGTATAACCTGCATTGCCTTGTGTAAAACTTGACTTACAAAAAGAGCATCAATCTTAAACAGAAGACCTGGAGAGACACTGACGTGGTTGTTGTGGCTTATATATATTATAACTTTAATATTTGTTGTGACTTATTTGTCATTACGTATCTGTTGTTACAAATAGATAGAAGTTTGACTACATGAAGGTATGGAGAATGTGTAATCAAAACTTGGTTCTGTTGATTATTAAAACAATGTGTCTAATTATCCTTAAAATATGTTTTTTTTGCTTGTTATCTATACCAAAATAAATTTATCATATATCTTGTCATCCAGAAGAACCAGAAGAAAGACGATTTGTCCTTTTTTTTTAAATACGAGAAGAAGTATGCATCACATGATTTGCAAAAGTAACAATGACCTTGACCTTACATTGCTTCTAATATAAAACGATCAAAATTGATTTATAACTAATGCCATAATCTAACCATACTCTCTACTTGAATCTATGAAAATTCCATGCTGATTAAATATGTAAGATACTATTTTTACCTTCAATACATTTTTCGTTTTACCTTGATTGGATAATCAAATCCTGGAATGTATCTGTTAGAACCTTTGTGACTTAGAGAGAACTGAACTCCATGACTTTTTAACCTGATGTATGACGTTGTAGACACTGTTTTCTCTGTGTTATCTTCGGTAAATTTCACCTCAACTTTCAGTTGGGTCCCATCTACATGATTTGAAACTCGATCGCCGTGTGATAGTTGATCTCTTAAATGACTTAGTGGAATTGTGAATTTCTCTTCCTTCGTTACCTGTTTTTGATAAATATTAGTTCATATTAGCATAAAAAACCCCGAAAGAAAACATAAAAATATGATAAGATTATCATGCAATGTGAAAAAACTTACATGTCTAGAATCGGTGAACATTTGTCCAGACCAAGTCTTAAAGCTTCCAGCTAAAGAAGGAATGGATACCGAGATGTTGACCCGCCCCGGGACGGGACGACCGTACGTGTACGTGGCCACAACTGACCCCGAAACCTCCCGATCACTGACCTGAGCCGATTGTGGAAAACTTGTCTCCAACTTGAATTTGGGAAGTACTTGTCAAGAAATAACGAAAAGGAATTTTTTGAAAAAATTTAAAACACAATGGAATAACAGTATTTACTTGTATCTTTCATTGTCAATATGGGGTCTTTTTAAGCAAAAGAGGTCCATTTTACTCTTTAAGATTAACATTAAAAATAAGTTCAGAGAGAACAAATATAAATCATTTAGATTACAGTAAACAATATACATTGTCCACACTAGTTTTATTAAAATTATACCTTGAAATAGACGAAACTAAACAAAATTTGGTAAAATATATGTATTTTTACAAAATTCCCATTGCAAATATTTAAAATTTTGGTGACAAATATAGATTTTCAAGATAATAACTTTCGAATTTTTGTATCAATTAAAATCATTTACCATATTCGTCGACTTTTACTGTTGCCCTTTCTGTAACCCCCTGAGCTGTGACCTTTATGACCCACTCCCCCAATACAGGCTGACTATCCAAATCAAGGGATTGAGATATCACTCCATAACTTGTGTTCTGAAGGCCAATCCAGTGCTTAATTGTGTTTGCCTTAGGATCCTTTGGGTGAGGATCAAATAAGATGAAGTTAATATACAGCTGTACAGGTACCCTTATTATATCACGTTATCACGTTGATATTTTCCCTCGATCTCTTAAATATATAATTTTTGATATCTTTTTACTTAAAAGAGTAAAGGATAACATATATCGTGCGAAGTTTTGATAGACTTGCCAATATGTTCATGGTGAAATTTCCAGTATAGATAGAACTGTTGGGATACAAGGCAAAGCTACGGATTTGAACTGCAAAGAAATTAAATATTAATACTTTAAATACAGAAAAAAAGCCATTTAATAATTAAAATAATGATTACTTTTCTGTCCAGCTTTGTATGTTCCTTTGTCGGTTTGGATGAAGATAGAGATGTTTTGACTTTGCACAAACACATCGGTAGCGTTAATAAACAGAATGCCACTTTTTCCTTGTAAGCGTATCCTATGGTTTCTGGTCCCCGGAGTCAAATTTTTCAAATCGGCTGGAATCTAGATAAAGAAACACATAATTTCAATTAAATAAAAATCACATTTGAAATGAAAAAAAAATTCTGTTAAAGTCACTGATAAAAATGAACATATATAATTTCCATGCAAGTACTTTTATTCTTATTTACTTTTTCCGAAGCCTAAAGGAGAACAATATTCTAAGTAACAAACAAAAATTTGTTAATTTAATTGTGATATCTTTTGAGTTTATGGATGATTTAACACTTCAACACTTGAGACGCTGTTATGAACTGTGGCAAGCAGGGGTAAGCATACTGATAATTTGAACCTACCTTCAATTGCAGTGCTTTTGGTGTATCTAGAAGGGAAAGTTATAGTAAATACAAGTTTAACATTCTTAAAACAAAGGT